GAGCAGCTTGGAGTGCTTGAAGAATCTGCACTCATTCAGGCCTGATAGGAAGGCCTGCAGGATGGGATGCTCTGCTCTAGTGAGCCGTCAGTGAAACCACATCCTTAGCTTTGTGGTTAGCATTGCCAAGCTGCCAGGCCAGGAAACTGATAGCTAGTGTTAGACCAGGACACAAGAAAAGACCACTGACTCCAATTAAAATCAAATTAAAGCAAGCTTATTATTTCAACAAGCCGGGCTGCCTCTCCCACCCAAAACCACAGGAACAAGACAGCCCCACATCTTTCTTGCAGCATAGCTTTATAGCCCAGAAAGTTACACAAAGGGGGTTACAGATAACAAAACTTTGATGAGCATAACATTTTTGCTGGCCCTGGCATCAGAATTTATGAAGGTCATTAGAGCCTCAGAGAGGGTCATTATCTGGCCAGGGAAGGCCAAGATTTAGGAGGCATCACTAAAATTTCAGAGGGCTGGTATCTGGTCAAAGAGCCAGGCATGGGTGAGTTCAAGGCATGGGCAGACATTCCAAGTAGGCTCAAAATTTGCAGTAATTTATAATGAAGCTGAAGTTAGCTTTTCCTGGCTTTGTGGTGAGATGGTTCCCAATTTTAAGAGAAAATCAGGTTGGGTCTATCACTAGGAGCTTCAACATGGAACTCCTAACATAGAAACCCCCTCCTCTAGGGACAAAGACCCTTCCTGATGATAGCAATATTTAGAGCATCCTCCTAGTGTTGTTACATTAGGCATAAGATGATTGGCTTAGGGATACTATCTTGCTTGTGTATGATTGATGGGCACGCCCCATTTAAACCCTATAACAATTGTATGCATTCCAAAAATAAACTGAGCTACTGGACTACGACATGAAGTGGGTCTCCAGCCAGTTCTGTCACCAGCTCCTGGAGTCTGTGTGTTGATTCCACATCTCTACCCCCCCACCCCCACCCCCCCACTACCCCCTACCCCTGAGACAAGGTAGCTGAGCAACTAATTGACAAGAACCACAGCAGGTTTATCTCAGCTTGAATTTGTATATAATGATTATGCAACTCTGAGAAGCTAAAGCTTTAAAAACATCTCACCACATTTATTTTATCTTCAGTTTCTTTTGCTAAGTCATCATAATTACCTGAGTGTAAAGAAAATCATCTACATATCAACTAATGTGCTCATATTTTTAAAAATTCTTCTTTTATAAAAAATTAAAAAAAATTCTCATTGATTTCTAATTATTAAATTGTGCACTTTTGTTTGTTGTGAGATTTTAGGAAGTTTGCAACTATCAACTACTTATTTACTATGGAAATTTGCTTAAAATTTATACTAAATTAAACTGCGTTTACTGGCAAAATATTTATGAGTAGTCTATCTACTAGCAGCTTCTTTCTTTAATCCCAAATGTTGAGATATTTAAAACTGTTGATATCTTTTCAGGATTTATTTAAAATTTTTAAAGTACATGTATTTATTGAATTATATATGAGCCTATGTGTTTTATATATGTGTTCATATTTGGAACTTAAAAGTGCAATGGATAATTTGTTTAGATAAAATTAATTGGATATGAAAGACAAAAAACCTTTTCAACCTACAAATTCCTGAAATCTAATTTACATAAATACATTCTAATATTATACTCAGAATAGCAGGCTTAAACTCTAATACAGACTCTCTGCAGATGAAGGAGGTCATGTTTAGGGAAGGTGACCCCAGTATCCACCAGGGCTCAGGAAATAGCTGAGTGATCCCCCTGAGCAAGTCTTGAGGTTTCAATGAGGCAGAGGACACAGGAAGTAGATCATTGTGGAAATTGAAGCACTCAGAAAATGCCCTGTGGATGCAGATGCAGTATATACTGTTTTGCAAGAGCAAAACCTTTTATTTAAAAAATAGAACAGAGAGAGAGGGACAGAGGGTCCTCTGCAGAGGAGGGGTCCAAGTTGGTGCCTGAGGGAGTGGGGGTCCTGCCCCTTACAAAGAGTTTAGATTTCCTCTGTTCTCATCCCCTCCTCCTCCCAACCTGACCCTGTGACACAAAAGGTGGGGGGATCCAGGGTGGGAAAGGAGCTCCCCAGGGGCGCAGCAGGAAGGGAGCTGCCCAGGGCTACTCACTAACACCTCCAAGCAGGGAGGAGCAGGTCCCTGGAGGCAGGGATCCTTGGCAGCAGCTTGGAGGAGGGATTTGCCCTGGAGGTGTTAGCATTTTATCTCCTGCAGAGACAGCTCCCATCTTGCTGACCCAGTCACTCATCACCTACACTGAAGGACCTGTGCCACCCCCACCTGACATCAGTCCCCCTCTGAAAATGGAACCCTGACTGCTGTAAGGGAAAATGGGTGACTGCCTTGGCTGATTCTGGGTGACAGGGGGCGACAAGGGGCAAGAAGCTTGGGTTTTCCTTTAGGAATGGTTTGGATTAGTCAAAGGATCTGTGGCAACAGTCTGGAAATATGATTTTTGTTCCCTAAAACACTAAAATACAAAAAAAATTGCACATTGAATTGTTATGGCCAGGCTATATGGGCAATGACCAAGCAGACTCCACTTTGCCCTGAGACCCCACATCATGTAACACATGCTTCTCCCAGGAAAGCCCCACCTCTGTCCCCATCTACAGTTGCTTAGCTTAGCATGTTTGGCAACACACAGTGGCAATTCTTACACAATGTAACAGTGTTCTTCCTTTGGTTGCTGTTTTGCTTGGACAATGTGCCCTGTCAGAGATTGAGTGTGTAGACATTGGTAACCATTCTTTATCTTGTGCCCAACTGGGGACGTGTTGGCCCACTCTCTTTTCTTCCTATGATTTTAGATCTTATGATATTTATTTATGGTTTTGAAATACAGCAGCAACCCCTTATGCTTTAATGTGGTTTTGGACTATAAAAGGTGTACTCAAACCCCAGGATGGGGTCGAAGGGTGTACTTGCAGCCTACCCCTTGGCCCGCCAGCTGGTGGATCTGAACCTCCAACTGATGAACAAATGCTCCATCTCCTACTTTAAGATCAACATGGAGATTTATTGCAATCTGACTTGAACATTTTGAAGGCCCCAGTGAGATGATCCTTGGAGTCAAGGCTGTGGCTCTGGGACACAAGGGAATCCTGGATCCTCTGAAGCTACCAGAGGTGACCCCACTCATAGTTTTGGAGCTCTCTGTGAAGTGCTGGACATTTTGTGGTGACTGATTTGAGTCTTCCTATGAAAGCTCTGGTGTGATGCACATCTGTAAATCCAGAGGCTTTGAAGGAGGATAGTGATACTGCAGGTTATCGGTGAGGAGTCCTGCTTCCCCACAGGTTGAAGTTTGAACATTAGAGAAGCACAGGGAGGCAAGCATATGAAGCAGGGTTTGCTTAAAAAGGGGTGACCTAGACTTCTCCTACGAGGGAGAAGGGGCCCTAGCTGGTGTCCTGGTATCCCGAGAAGTGAGGTGTTCTGCACTTTTATATGTCCCAGGATTCCTTTGTTCTCCTGTCTTTCCCCCTTATCTTTCTCCTTCCTGTGGACATGACTAGGCCCAGGAGTGCTGGGTGGGAGGACCAAAGGTGGGAACCAGGTGGGCTGAAGGGGGAAGGGCAGGTGGAGTAGACAAGGATATATTAACAACCCTAGAGCACCCTGGAGGGAGGGGCAATTCCTGGGGCAGGTTACCCTGGCAACAGGTTGGAGCAGGGGCAGGTTCTACATAAGATCCCTCTGGGGGACAGTGTCCAACTTCCCAGATTGACTCAAAATTGGCCTCCTTGACTGACCTGACTCAATTTACCTGTCTACACTGACTGCCTAATTCTGGCTTCAATGGAAGCGCATGTGTTGGGAGGTCCCTCATTTGCTCTATCTTAATTGTAAAGCCTCAGAGGTTCCAAGTGCCTGATAGTAAATGTTTTGAAGTGTGTCAGGGGCTCCTCTGGGGGTGTATCAGCACTTGATTGTAAATCTTTCCAAGTGTTTCAAGTGTGTGATTGTAAGGCCCAAAGGTGTATAAAGTGATCTTGAGCCCGAGGAGGCCTTGGTCCAGACCCAGCAGAGCTCCCATAAGTGGATCCTGAGGAGGGTCTGGAGGCTGGGATTATGTGGAGGAGAGTGACTTTCTTGTGTTTTTGTCTTGTCCTATTTGTTGTTTGCTATGGTTTGTTCCCATGTTGTCTGTTTAGGTTGATCTCCATTTCAGTTTGCTCGTAACATTTTTTCCCCCAACTTTTTCACTAGTGAGACAAGACAGGGACTGGTGACCTACCACCTTTGGACACAGTCACACTCGCTGCCTGGTTAAATTCTTGTCTCTCACCTTCCTTTTATTTCCGCCCATTGTTTGACTGTTAGCCTCCTTGTGGGAAACCTAATCCCACCTGGCCTGACACCTACCTAAAAAACAATGGTTAAAAAGGTTTTCAACTGGGCTGACTAAAGCTTGCATTGAAAGGGCTGCCAACAGATGTTAAAAGTAAAAGCCAAAGGTCATAAAGCATGTGGAGATTGCCTTCATTTAGGAACTGGCCAGGTGGCCAGCAGAGTAGACAGACAGTTCCTACAGAGGTCAGCTTAGAACTAGAGAGTTTTTAGGATCATAATTTCTAAGATATGTAAAGTATCCTTTTGTCTAGGAAACTTGGCTTTTGTCTCTCAGCCCCAGATACTCACAGCAGCAACAACAAAACCTCAAAAAACTTAAAGGGTTACAGAATCACTTCCAACTATTGGAGGTGACCCAAAAGAGTTTTTAACTGAGACAGTCCAGGTGCTAAATGTGTTTCAAAATGCCAGGCTAAGATTTTTGTGGCCCCTATGAAGAGACCAGAAAAACCAGTTTAGAATGGGACTCCGACCTGTGGGAACTCTCCTGAGGGGACCCATGGATCTGCCTATTGAGGAAGTTCCTTCAGGGAGAAATAAGTCCCTGGCCTTTGTCTATGTTCCCTTAACTCTTGTCATCTCTGATGACAAAACCTCATCAGGAAGGAAGCCAGGAAAGCTTTTAAAATTCTGACCTGAGACAGGTGGAGAAAGACACTCCTGACTCCATAAGAGAAGAGCATGGGATGATCTGAGGCAGAAGAGACCTCCAGATTCTCCATGATGGGATCCAGGGAGACACTGATCACCTGGAGAGAAACCATCCACTCTCCTCTGCTGCTCTGAAGGGGGCACCTGAGCTGCTGTGTGCTGAGCGCCCCCTGCTGGCCCTGGGCACCCTGCAGGAGGTTTGTGTCTGGGCTCACACTGAGGTCCCCTCACTGTGTCTCTGGCACAGTAATAGGTGGCTGTGTCCTCAGTGGTCAGGGAGCTCAGCTTCAGGGAGAACTGGTTCTTGGACGTGTCTCTGGAGATGGACACTCGGCTCTTGAGGGATGGGCTGTAGTAAGTGCTACCATCATAACTTATGCATCCTATCCACTCCAACCCCTTCCCTGGGGGCTGACGGATCCAGTTCCAGCAGTAACCACTGGTTGTGATGGAGAATCCAGAGACAGCACAAGTGAGGGACAGGGTCTGTGAGGGCTTCACCAGGCCCGGTCCTGACTCCTGCAGCTGCACCTGGCACAGGAAACCTGGGGACATGGACAGTCACACCCTGTCAGTCATCTGCAGTCACAACCTCCCTATGGACCCAGATCTGACACTGGGGACACTCACCTTGGGGAGCTGTGACCAGGCACAGGACAAGACCCAGCAGCCTCATCTTCTAGACCACACCTGCCTTCCCAGAGACCTCAGCCCTGTCTGAGCAGAGAGCTGGGAGCTCCCACAGCCCAGAGGGCCTTTGAACCCAGAGCAGGAGGAGGGATTTGCATGTGGGTGAGGCTCTTCTGATATCTGGAGAGGCTGAGTCAGGCTGCCCAGGTCCTCTGTGCTCCTGAGATGTGTCCCTGTCTTGAGCCCAAGTGGAGCTTTACCTGTGAGAGGAGAGCAGGTGGTTTCAGGGGTGCTGGAAGGCTGTCAGAGGGGGAGCCCACCCTCCTGAGCCCAGCCCTGCCCCCTCCAAGCCCTTCCTCCCTGCACCTGGGAGGGTGTCAGAGTGGCAGCAACGTGCCCAGCATGCAAGAGGCCCAGGTTCACCTCCCAGCCCTGAAGGAGAAGCCCTCAGTGATGACTGAACAGAGCCCAGGGCTGAGGATGGGGTTCCCCACATCCAGGAGAAGAGCCCCCTTTTGTTCTCAGGACTAGTTCTTCTCTTTCATCTCTGTGAGATTTGGGGGCTACAGACTGAGCAGGAGAGGAGGGAGCAGGGTCTCAGGAGGGCAGGGGCTTCCTGCTGTGTGCCCACTGCCCTCCCCCACCCTCTGCCCTGCTTGTCCTCCTGACTGTCCAGCCAATGCCTGTGGACAGCAGTGGG